TGTCCTGTGGAAAAATAATTCTTTCCTGTACTTTTGCTGATCATTCCGATGCTTTCCAGTTAATTGAACTGTCATTCTATGTGAATTTTAAGGCGGATAACGTTATCCTCAATGTGGGTAGTCTTGAATTGAATTCCAAGTTGTCGGACTCCGTGCTGTGTAGAGACCCCGAATGCTTTGGTCGAATATGAAAATCAACTAACTTCCGTGGGTAGAGTTTCTCTCTCAGTACCAACTTATGATATAATTTTGTGGAAAAGAAACTGTTCCACTTCCACTTTGGAATGAGCTGGACAATTGACAAATGCTTACCTACATATGTACATAAGTGCTTTCATTACATTTTATGCTATGTTTGATAGGTGTTGTAGTATTGGAAACGATGACAGTGTTAATAAAGTGTATGCATAAAAAAAATCGCTTGATTAATATCTCTCTGCTGTTAATGAGTTACGCGTTTAATTAATGGTTAACTTATGGCCAGTTAATTACGCATTATCCTTTTGGCCTGTTGCGTTTTTATTTTTTTAATCAGTTTTCGCTAAGCTGCTTAATTTGATTTTCTGCTCTCAGTGGTATTTGGCTTTTAACAGATTTCTGTTAAAGCAATTGCAGCTTAAAAGGTCTGAAGTAAATTTGTCATTTTAAACATTAACAGTGTTATGCAAACCAAGAGGAAGAAATTAACATTTTGATATGCATATCATGAGAATAAGTGAGAGTGGAGAGTCGACAAAAAGCAACTTGAAATAAAATAGTACAGTTACAAATAATTATGTGTGTAGACGCCGTGTTGCTCTGCCTATGCGTGTGATATGTGTAAGTGCAAATACATATTTAATAGAATTGATATCTTTAAAGCACTGTTGATTTAAGTTGTGTGCAAATAGCAGAAAAGCAGTTGTAATTTTTGCCATTTCATTTTATATTTACCTGTTTTAATATTTACGCGTCAATTTCATTTTGCTTGCGCTTGTGTGCAGGCACTTGTGAATATTCGTATACCCTTTAGCCAACATAGTTGGGGTATGCTGCATTGTGTAGCAGTTAGAGCAGAATATAATAGAGTGATAAATTGCTGTAAATTGTGTAGACTTATGTAAGTATTGAAAGCTTTATCTACATACAATGTACTTATGTTATGCCTTCCTGTTAGCAGGGCATTTAATAGTTGGGCATTTAGATTCTTTTTGGCTTTTTTTCGTATTCATTTTTCTGCTGTTGTTTGGGCGAATTGTAGGCCCATTGAATGCACAAGTGGCCGACATATTTGTACATTATGGGGGATGGGCTTGAGCAGCAGAGTGGGCAATGCCGGTTCAACTGGCCCGTTGCCAACCGCCTGGCATCATCATCGCCATCTTTATGACGATGATGATGATCAGCAGCAACAGCAGCAGCAGCAACATTTTAACATTTTTCTGTGCATGCATAAAGCATAAAGGTAAGTAATTATGGCATTGCCTCATGCCGCACTGCCGCTCGCTAGTTATCCTGTGGCAATTGGCGCCTTTTCAAGTGGCAATTGACGGCGGCAGCGATGGCGGCAGTGCTGCCAGCGCAATTTGTCTGCTTCAGTTCTCTGCGCGCTTTTGTATTTACATAGCTGTTCCGTGTTGAGCCTCGACGGCAACTTTTCAATTTGTATTTTGTATTTGTATTTACAAAAGTGGAATAATACGAGAGTATGCCTGTTAAGTAAAATCTATTTGATATGTAAAGGATTGCTTTTTGCATATTTGTATTGATTTCACTGCAGTTAAACAACATTTCTGTTATCTTGAAATTCCTATGATAATTAACATTAACATTACTTAAAGAGTTTTAAGCAGTAAAGTTTTACGATTGCCGTTTTACTTTGTAATGATTCTCTGTTCTTGTGAACATTTTTCTTTTTCCATTAGTTTCTTTTAAATTTCGTTAACTTATTTGCACGTTTTTAAATGCAATTTGTATATAGATGTTGTTTCATAACTCTGCCACCCTTTGGCTTTCAGCACAGCTGTTGCTGTTTACCACTAACACACACACATAGCCCACCGTGCCACAACCGCAACATGGTGGCTAGAAGTGTTTGTACCCTAGTATCCCAGCAACCTGGTCCTAAACACCAAATACTTAATGATGCGCCCCGCGCGTGGGCCACATGTCCTTTTGGCACGCTGGTCCGCACTCTGTTCTCTAACTAAATATACATTAGGTGGCAAAAGCTTTGAAACACCCGTTAGGGCAGATTTGGCAGAGATTAGCGCTGGAGGTTTCCGTGGCTTCTTCGCTTGGCTGCCGCTGTTGCTGCTGCTCAGCGAGTGGCACTTAATAAATTTAATTTTGTTTATCTAAATAATTTTATTTAAATAATTTTAAAATCGATTGTTTTTTGTTCATTGAAAACTACAGTTTCATTTGTTTTTCTTAATTTCGCTTTCCACTCGCTTCAATATCACATCCATATTAGTAACCAGCTGTTCCAGAATTTCCTCCAGCAAAGAAACGCGATTGTTGAGACTAAAGGAAATTAAATCAGTTGATGAATTTCGAATATATACATAGAAATGTTTTGGTACCTACCGGTACATATCCTTATTCATAACTTCATTAGGTACATCTGCGAAATAGTGTGCCCTATAGAAAGCCAAAATATGGAAATATATTAAAATATTATAACAGTAATTATTGCTGTATTCAATTACTCGGCTTCCGTTAGATTTCTACGTAAATGTATTCTTTCCCTGGGTTGGTAGGGACTGTTAGCCTTATCAGTTCCTAAATCTTCTTCGGGTTCCGTAGGCTGTGGCAGAACTTGATTTTGACGCTTGCGCCCACAATGCCTAATCATATAGAAGACGGCGGAAATTTTCTTATACACATATGCGCCCAGCTGACTGCGACCCTGCGTTATTTCACTCTTTACCGAATTGTACGTTTCCATGATAATGGCCAAGAACATATTCTAAAATAGTAAAAAATTATCAGCAGTATTTTGATAGTAAACATATCTCATTATTTACCAACAGAATAAAGAAGACCAGCAGAATGTAAGTGAGGAAGTAAATGGGTCCCAGCACCCGGTTAGCCTGCTCAATGAGATTGTATTGAAAGTCGCCCAGAATCATGCGTATCATGGTCAAAATAGATGTCAGGAAATTGCGAAAATCTGGATGCTTAGTGCCAAACAGCAGCAGACCCAGCTGGGCATAGGCCAGAAATACTATGCCGAACATGAGACTGAAACCTGCCAAATCCTTCGAGCACTAAATATGAGAGGCAATTGATTAGACTTCTCCTAGTAAATTGTTATATGAGGTTTGTTACTCACGCGTCTCAATGTCGTTGTAAACTGCACGAGCGTCTTGTTAAAACTAATAAATTTAAATATCTTAACCCAAACGAGGAATGCCAAAATGGCCATCATATCCACATAGATAGTATTCCACAAACATAAAGTGTCCAAACTCTGGTACTTTTGTTGGACCTTCAATGCACCTACAATTGCATTCACCTTGAACATGTGCCAAACGTTATAGATCATAGCCAGATATGCGAACTAAAATGCGTGGAAGATATATTGAGTCGGAAATTATATGAGATATTGGGTTGCAACGTACGACTAATATAAGTAAATCCTGTATATTCATTATGGACTTGAAATAATTCTTAATGCCAATTCTGCGTACTGCAGTTATTTCCGAAATGGTGTAGTATACAACCATAACATACCAAAATATAAATATGCAGGTCATGGACAGACTTCGATCGTTTAAAAAGGTGAGTTCTTTCACGGTCTGCAGCTGACTCTGAGGTATGACACCGCCAGTAGGCGGTATTTCCGCAATAAATCTAGAAACAAGATTATAAATTGAAATCAAACAAAATATTAACAATAAACATAGAGTTTGAAGTGGCCGACAGGTTGACTCCTCGACTAGTATATATAAGTATTCTAGATTTTTTCTATAAAACAAGTAAGAAACTTCTAGTCGAGAATCCTTAACTACAAGATCCCCTGAATCCTTCGAAGAACTGATATTTTAAAATTCTTCGTTATATCTTCTGAGATCGAGATCAAACAGACGGACAGACGGACAGGACTAAATCGACTCAGCTCGTCGCCCTGATCAAGAATATATATACTTTATGGGGTCTGTCACGTCTCCTTCTCGATGTAACATATAAATATTTAAGAAAACCATTCTACCCTGAAAATGGGTGTAAAAAAAGATATTTTCTTGGTATATATCAATTATTAATCTCCTGTAAGTAATTTAAATACTTGTAGATATTATGTAGTACTCCTTATCGACTTACTTTACACTCTGAAATATGTCTGTATTTTCGTTATATAAATTAAACTCGATCAAGCAAAGCCTCGAGCCGCGATCCAGCCAATATTCATTCATCAATCTTTTGATAGTCCGTAGATTTTTCTCTTTACTAAATGATAAGTCGACGGTATAGCCACCAGTGCGATAGAACTTCAATTGTGTCCATAAGGGAGTCGAGTCCAAGCCCTTCATCGTTCTATATGGGGCGCCCATGTGATGGTCTACAATCTCTTCCGACGCTGATGAATACTCTGCATAGCATGTGTTGAAGTAACGTATAAAGGCATCGTTAACATTGCAGCTATCTTTGCGCACACGTATCTGCCGCAGTCGGGGCGGTCCTAGCAATAGATTCTCATGCAAAAAGACTCTACCTAGTAGATTTGTTGTGTTGCCCTGACCTGCTTGACGTTTAACTTTGCGTTTTGGATTTTCTTCATTATAATCTGTGTTTTCATCGGCATCTCCAGGTCCACCTCCAGGACCACCTCCAGGTCCGCCACCAGGTCCACCTCCAGGTTCTTCAATCGGAGCATCTGGGTTTTCAATTTCTTGAAGGTCCGAACTTATGCCTGTCATATCGCCGTGTAGATTTACTAAAAAATTATAAACTAAATAATCCCAAAAGTCTGGTATGGTCAGGATCTTTTCAAATGATATAGTGACCGAGGGAACTATAATCATGTCACGGGTTGTGAAAAGTTTCTTTATAGTATCATTGAAATAGAACATGTAGGGATGACGAACCGACAGTGTGACTGCAATGGACATTGAAAACAGTATTTACTAATTAAATGCGGAAACAAAATGTATCAAAAGAAACATTAAAGCTGTTAAGTGGGCTGAAGCAGAACTCTCGATGTAAATTTATTATTTTACTCACCCAAAGAAGTTAAGACGAGGAATATGATAAAGACGGCAAATTCCATGAGCGCATCGCGCACCTCCTCATCGGTTGTGTAGAGAATGCGCGATGCTTTTGTTCTCATACCCTGCCTGTCAGATATTGATCTGCGTCTAGTTTCAGGCTCGGTATTTGATTCGCCGCGATCTCCATCGTAGATCTGTTTACGTCTAAATAGTCGTGCGATGCCCGTCTTTTGCGGTGGGGGCGCCTGTTCTGTTGTGAGCGGCTGGGTTGAGGGCCTAGGCGAGTCTGGAGCGGCGAGATCGTGCGACTCGTTAAGTGTCGGCGGCAGGCTTATATGGCGACCTCTAGGGGTTGGCGACTCCTCGTCTGGCGCCTGGGTGCGCTTGGGGCGTGGTGGCGGCAATGGGCGGCGACCCGAGCGCTGTGTGCCCTGATCTACACGTTCTATCGGCTGTGGAGGCTCCTCCTCTTCATCTTCCACATAATTATTTTTATCTTTACCTTTATAATCTCTATCAGCCATTTTGAGTTTTCCTTAATAGAATAGAATATTTTTTCAATTTTTATATATTTGTATTTTTATATTTCGGTTTGTTGAGATGTGCTTTACAACGACGACCAAAACTGAGAGGCTTAAGGCGAGCGGGCAAGGCTACGACGGGAAACAGCTTGAAGTTTGAGCAGTGCTTGCTTTGACCTGGCATACAGTAAAATTGTGCTGGGGGGTCAAGTAGAGAGTGTATGTGTGTGGGTGTGCATAAAAAATGGCAAGGAATGCAGCGAACATCTGCACAGCAGTTGCATCCTTATAGTCAAACATATCCTGCTATTCTCCCCCATATACATATGCATATTTCATGCGTTAACGCCAGCATTTGGATTGCAGCGGCAACGCCAACAGATGATGGTGTGCGCGAGAGGCTATGGGGCGTGGCTGTTGGCAGTTTTTGATTTATGTGGCTCGTTGGCCAGCTCAGCGACTCCTTTGGGCTATCAGCGCCCAGTTGAGTTGTCAGGACACATAAAAAATGCACGAACAATCGCATAAATGTGTTAAGATCCCTCAACTAAATCGCTTTGGCAAGGAGCTAGGAGCTTCCTGGCTTCTGGCAGAACATAAACATATTTTCGTTCTAAAATTAAATACAAGCTTGCATCATTTTGATTTTAATGTTTGTTTTATTGAACCGTTTGCTTGTTTTGCATTTATTTTATTATATTCATAAAGTTAACTTTCAATATTCACTAAATAGATCAATTCATCCACATTACTGAATTATGTATACGTAAAATTTAAGTACACTTTTTGCTTTATAATAATAATAATTTGAATGATTTAACAGAATAGTTTATAACTATTAACATAAAATATATAGGATATGATTAGGCTCTTGTTGGTGACGAAGTAAGAAATATTTTATAGCTCTTGCTTAGATTAGTTTTAAGAAACAATTTTCTGGGATTTTATTATTTCATCTATAGTATGACAGACATAAGAAAAAGTTTGTGTGAAGTTATTAAAGCTAAGTAGCTGCAAAGATTTCTCCCATGTTTTTTTTTAACTAATTCTTAAAATTTGATTTAGTGTTTAGATTGCAGTGTGCGTGCGCTACGAACGGAATTTCGAATGTTTTTGTGTGTGCCATAGAACTATGACTACTAAAATATATTAACATATATTTATCTATGTAAATATAAATATGTGTATATGTAAATATGAATGTATATATATTTAAATATATATATAAATATTTATCAGAGCTAATCTGGATATTTAATGTTTTGCAATCAAATATTTTTCTTTATCCAAATTTAAAAACTTCTTTTTATTACTAAAAACTACAAATTAATTAAGTATAATATTTTTTTTTGTATTTTTTTTTTTCAATGTGATTTTTGATTGCGAATCTGTAATTGGTTTTCCCACAAATGTTTTTTCTTTCATTTTTGCTTAACTATTTGGCTTTGAAAATACTTTGGCGCCACAACGCAGCTCAGTTTTTTAATATTGATTTTCCACGTTTTTATAACTTTTTTGTAATAGTTTAAAATTTTTTTGTTTTGCCAACCACACATGAATATAAAATTTAATGCACTAGAAATTATTATTTTTTTTCAGCAAAAGTGATTACAACAAAAGGATGCAACTTTTAAGCTACCTCTTTGGTTGGTTTTTATGTGAATATTTCTATTTGAATATTTCTATTTTTATTCACTTTTTGTTTTGTGCATTGAAAGAAATTGTTGTTTTGTGCCCCCAGATTATTTATTTTTTTGTTCCGTTTTTTTTTTTTTTTTTGGTGTTTGCTTAACATTAGATAGATTTTATTAATTGGTCCTTTGGTTTCGAAAACATTTCACGCTAAAAGGCACAATATGGAACTACTCTATTTCTATTTGTGTTTTTTGTTTTGGGATTTGTGTTTTGCGGCGATAGATCACGCTCAGTTAGCTGCTTAATAGGGCTTGCCCAAGTCCTTGGGCCGCTTTAGCTGCACCTTCAACCGCTTTGTGCCTATTTGAAAGCCGTGCATTGCTTGTATGGCCGCATCAGCTGAATGCCGATTGTCGTAGGAGACGAAGCCAAAGCATTTCGATAGATTTGTTTGCTTATCGATGAACACTTTGGCCGATAGCACATTGCCAAAGGGCAAAAATGTCGAAGCGAGATCGGTATCTATGAATTCCTGAGGTAGATGATAGATAAACAGATTGCTGCCATCGGGACCTGTAAATGAAGTGGGAGATAATTAATATTTCTGAATAGCTTATGAAATTATTAGTGAACGCTCCAGAATGGGGGAATTGGAAAGCCAGCAAAGGTAACAATCTATAAAATCTATGACTACTTACAACAATTATAATTATCCATCAAGTTAAGGTAAGGAGTAATGAACAAGTTTCGCAAGTAAAGTCTTACTATTGCTTAACAGATCGATTGAGTGACAAGCGATCAAGCCATATTCTATATCGATCAATCAATTAATGACTTACTGAATTAATGTTCTGTTCAACAGCTGATGATGACTTTGTTTTCCTACTTCACATAATTATCTGTGATCTACTCATAGTGCTGACTAATGTGTGATACGACTAAAGTCTATATGGATCAGTCCATAGTCTATATTGATCTGTAGTCCACACTGATCTAATAGATTGAATAAACTCCATTATTGAACAGCTCACGATCTACTCAATTTATTGATTCTTGCTCTGATATTACATCAAAGAAAATAGCTTCAAATTTATGTGATTCTATTATTAATCCGCTGAAGATCTACTCAGCTCAATAAGTTTTCTCTTTGCGTTCCATCCTCATTAAGGAGCATTCACTGTATATTCACTTACCCTCGATCTGTTTGCCTGCCACGCTCGCTGCGGCGGCTTGCAAGGCGTTGGCATTCAGCGTCTGTGCGGCTCCATAGGCGACACTAGCTCCGTTGGGTAAGCCGGTAAAGGTGTTGGTGCCATAGGGATCTGCGGCGCTGGGTGGCCCTAAAATTTTAGATTTTTCGATATTTTTAAAATTATATTTCAGAAAATATATTAGAATTTGCCGTTGCGCTAGGGGAAAGAGAAAATTATGTAGAATATGATTGTTCTTGCTTAAGTTTATGCAAGTTGTTGTTCAATAAAAGAAAAAATAATACAAGTTACACGACAAACAGAGGCTAGGACAGAAACTTATGAGCACGCCCATGCACTCACACGCACACACAAACACACAGATAAAGAATACAGAGAACCACACACATAAACACTCCAGTGCTCTATGTGGCGGAGCTGAGTTAACGCATATGGAAACCGCGCTTTATATATTTTGACCCTGGTGTTTTCCTTTGTTATGCCCTTTTATTGGGTATTCTTGTTTTGTAATGAAATATGCAAGGCATTAAAGTATAGTAAATTTATTTATATGTTTTAGCCTGTTACAAGGTATAGACCTTTAAACCCATTCTAATGTGAAAGCTTGAAACAAGGTTTTCATATACAATTTTCCTATAGTTGAGTGTATTAACGCGTCGGCGTGCCGATAATGCAATTTATTTTCCTTCTTAGTTCTTGTTTTACTTTTTGTTGTCGTTGTTTTATTTTTACATTTTTTTTCTCACCCGCTGCTAGCCTTACATTATTAAATTTTATATCCTTTTGTTGTAGCATAAAAAAATTTGTTGTTAGCCTTTGTTGTGCGCACGGCGCCTGTTTTTTAATTGAGCTGAGCGCCCAAACCAGCAAACCCAAATCCCCTCAACCTGGCCTTTTGCTTTGTGCAACACAGGCGCACACACACACACACACACTGATAGGCAAAAATGTTTGTAATCTACTAAAAATTTATTACGTTTTCTCCTCGTTTCTTTTGTTATTTACATACGTGTAATACATAACAAACAAAAAGAAACAAAAAGCGCAATGAAAGTTTTGCATTTCATGTGCACTCGCCGTGCGAGCAAAAAAGGAAGATGAAAATCATCATAAACATGGCTAAAATTTTTTATGTACCATCAAATTATGAGTTTACATTTTTTACGCTCAACATTTATTTTATTGCGTTTCCTGCACAATTTAGAGATATTAATTTTTTATATGCCCTGCGGTGGGTTCTCCAATGCGTAATATATCGATTGAAGCTCTTTTTTCTAATCAGTGTTGGGAAATATTTTTATTTCCTTATAATTAATCCTGCTCCCAAAATATATCAAATGAATACTACAAAAGTTGATTCATCAATTTACATATAATTGTTTTTCTTTTTTACAATCTACAAAGATTTTTTTATTCCTTTATTTTCCTTTTAGTTCCTTTGAAATAAGAGTTCTAAATTTTCAGCAATAATTCGTACTAAATATCAACATATTTTTTAGTCTTGGTATCACATTGAGCTCATTTTTTTTGTCATGATTATGATTAAAGTAATCGTATTTTCATTTGAAATATATAAAAAATGCTTTAAAATGATATTATATGTTTATATAGTTTCTTATTTGAATTTAATATGCTAATAAATATTTTAAATCACATATAAATCTGCATATATCTATTCATTTTGATTCCCTTTTACTGGGCAACTTCCAGTCTGGCTTTTTCTATCATATTCATTTTTCTCTTATATTGCAATCAAAAATGTGTATTTTTTTTTCTGTCAGTTGCATGATTTGATTTTTTCATTTTGTTTTTATTTGTGTCAAAATTGTAAAATTGTTCAACGCTTTTTTTTTTTTGCTATTGTTATGGCACAACAATTTTTATTGACAGAGTGTGTAAATAAAAACTAGGTAGAACTTTGAAGGCAACACACAAGTGGAAAGGAGGGAGGGAACCTACGACTGCATGTGTTTTTAATTAACAATAGGCCGGTGGTGGGCGTTTTTTCAGGTGACTGGTTTAGAATCAAGTTGCATGGGCGTATTCGAACTTATTCAATTTGATGGGTGAAATAGTGT